TATGAAGGGTGCCATTCTCACCGGTCCTCCGGGCACTGGGAAGACACTGCTAGCTAAGGCCACAGCCGGAGAAGCCAACGTTCCCTTCATCACTGTCAGCGGATCCGAGTTTTTGGAGATGTTTGTTGGTGTGGGTCCAGCTAGAGTAAGTCTTACTATGTTCTGATGGCACAGATTTCCTGTCCCCACCAGCTCCCCCCAAATGGGGACTTGGTGAAGATGGCCCTGTCCCCTGGAGTGCCAGAGTGCCCCTCACCAGCCACTGCCTTGAGCGCTCTGCCAGGGCTGAGCCTCCAGCAAGGCCTGTGACTTCCACCCTCCTCCCCGTCCCAACCAGGGTTGCAGTCTGTTACCTAATGTGATTCTAACTTAATGTATTTCAAGAAGCGGCTACCATTTACAGGTTTTTTTTTGGTAGCAGCTTCGAGACATGATTCACATACCATACAATTCAGCCCCTTGAAGTACACAGTTCATTCGCTTTTCATATGTTCACAGATCTGTGCAGCCCTCACCACAGTCAATTTTACAGCCTTTCCATCCTCTCAAGAAGAAACTTCTTACCCTTTAACTACCACCCCCTGTTGCTCTTACCTCACTCCCAGCCCTAAGCAAACACTAATCTGCTTTCTGTATGTAGATTTTCCTATTCCAGACATTTTATATAAATGAAATTATACTATGTGGTCTTTTATGCCTGGCTTCTTTCACTTGGTGTAATGTTTTCAAGTTAAATGGTAGCTCTGTGGTTAACTTTCGGGGAACCATCAGACTGTTTTCCAAAGTAGCTGCACCATTTCACATTTCCACCGGCAGTGTGTGAGGGTCCTGCTTTTTCCACGTCCTCACCAACACTTGTTATTGTCTGTCTTTTTGATTCTAGCCGTCCTAGTGCATGTGAGGTGGTGTCTCATTGTGGTTGATTTGCATCTCCCTGATGGCTAGTGATGTTGAGCGTCTTCTATGTGCTTATTGATCGTTTGTGTATCTTCCTTGCAGAGATGTCTGTTCAGATCCTTTGTCCATTTTGAAATTGGGTTGTTTGTCCTTAACTCTTACAACTCAACATATTTATATAGTCTGGATACTATTAATCAGAGATATGATTTGCAAATATTTTCTCCCATTCTGTGGGTTGTCTTTTCATTTTCTTGACAGTGAAGCATAAGGTTTTAATTTCGATGGAGTCTTATTAATTTATATTTTCTTTTGGTGCTTGTGCTTTTGTTGTCATCTCTAAGAACCCATTGCCAAATTCAAGGTTTGGCAATGGGTTCTTAGATGAACGTTTACTCCTATGTTTTCTTCTAAGAGTTTTATAGTTTTAGCTCTTACGTTTAGATCTGTGATTCATTCTGAGTTCAATTTTTTTATATAGTATGAAGTAACAGTCCATCCTCATTCTTGCATGTGAATATTTAGTTTTCCCAGCACCATTTGCTGAAAAGACTATTCTTTCCCCATTCAGTGGTCTTGGCACTCTCGACCATAGATAGATACGTGGGGTTATTTCTGGACTCGCAGTTCCGTCCTGTTGATCTGCATGTCTGTCCTCATGCCAGTACCACCCTATCTGGATTACTGTTGCTTTGTAGTAAGTTTTGAAATCAGGATGTATGAGTGTGGTTTAAATTTTAAAGAGGGTCGGGTGTGGTGGCTCACGACTGTAATCCTAGCACTCTGGGAGGCTGAAGTAGGAGGACTGCTTGAGCTCAGAAGTTCGAAACCAGCCTGAGCAAGAGTGAGACCCTGTCTTTATCAAAAAGAAAAAAATCAGCTGGGCATTGTGGCTTGTGCCTGTTGTCCCAGCTACGTATGTGAGAGGCTGAGGCAGGAGGATCACTTGAGCCCAGGAGTTGGAGGTTGCAGTGAGCTGTGATGACCCCACTGTACTCTACCCAGGGTGATGGAGTGAGACTCTGTCTCAACAACAACAAAATTTAAAGAAATTTAAATTCACTCACGCCTGTCATCCTAGCTCTCTGGGAGGCCGAGGCGGACGGATTGTTTGAGCTCAGGAGTTCAAAACCATCCTGAGCAAGAGCGAGACGCCGTCTCTACTAAAATTAGAAAGAAATTAATTGAACAACTAAAAATATATAGAAAAAATAAGCCGGGCATGGTGGCGCATGCCTGTAGTCCCAGATACTCGGGAGGCTGAGGCAGGAGGATCGCATGAGCCCAGGAGTGTGAGGTTGCTGTGAGCTAGGATGATGCCACAGCACTCTAGCCCGGGCAACACAGTGAGACTCTGTCTCAAAAAAAAAAAAATTTAAGGCCGGGCGCAGTGGCTCACATCTGTAATCCTAGCTCTCTGGGAGGCCGAGGCGGGCGGATTGTTTGAGCTCAGGAGTTAGAAACCAGCCTGAGCAAGAGTGAGACCCCGTCTCTACTAAAAATTAGAAAGAAATTAATTGGACAACTAAAAATATATAGAGAAATTAGCCGGGCATGGTGGCGCATGCCTGTAGTCCCAGCTACTCGGGAGGCTGAGGCAGAAGGATTGCTTGAGCCCAGGAGTTTGAGGTTGCTGTGAGCTAGGCTGACGCCACGGCACTCACTCTAGCCTGGGCAAAAGAGTGAGACTCTGTCTCAAAAAAAAAAAGAAAGAAATTTAAATTCACAGTTTTTACTTTCATGTGTTTTACCAGTGTCTAAAATGTTTTTAAAGAATGCTGTAGAAATGCGAAGTGCTCTCACAGTTACTTTTGCAGACATCAGGATACAACTTAGAATGAATAAGAAAGCACTGAATCCTCAGCTGGTAGTGTTATTTTCTTTCTTAATGGCAAGTATAGTAACTCTGGATCTTTTACCACTGATGGCATCTTAGATAAGGTGAACTGTAGCGGTTGGAGCGTGTGGATTCCTCTGGGTTTTGGAGGCTATGTCATAGAAAAATAAAGGAACAGGGGGGAGTCGAGCGTTGATAATGGTGGACCACTCTAACACGGAAGAGTGGAAATTGAAGACGGGGTGTGAGATGCTTGGGTGTGTCTGAGGCTGGCCAGACCACAGGACGGGGTGGTCAGAAAGTGGGTGACTTGAAGCTGGTCGTTTAGAGGGCACCTCGGCAGCGATGGCCTTGTCAGAGCAGAGCAAAAGGTGATTAAAGAGGCGGTCAGGGAACTGAGAGACTAAGAACTACATGGATGTGGAAATCACTGAGGAAATCGTGCCTGGTGGGGCACCAGGCCTGTGGAGGACCACGGCGAGGTGGGTAGAGTGCCTGCCACGGGGTGTGAGCCTCGCCAAGCAGGGGTTTTTCCAGTAGAATTATTTTGGCAGCAGTAATGGAATGTAAGGCAGAGCCCAACACCGCCTGGCCTGGAGGGGAAGATCAAACTCCTTCTACCTGAGGGCTTTGCAGGGACAGCCACGCTCCGGTTCCGGCAGGGAGGGGGAGGATGCACTCAGGGACAAGCTGGAGGGGGTGGGTCTGCTGATCACAGATCTGGAGTTCGAAGGGGAGGCTGTAGAGGGACGTAAGTTATTTCAGGGGATGTGTTCAGAGCAGTGTAGGAATGGAAACCCAGAAATCCGGGTGGGAAAGGATGGCGGGAGACTCGGACACCTGGCGAGTGAAGTAAAGTCGCCCGCTCCGCCAGTGAGTGGGGCGGGCTTGGGTTTTCCTCGCCTTCACGGTGGGTGTAAGGATCGTGGACCTGTTGGTCGCTTCTCCTTGTTAATTGTCTGAGGCATGAAATGTGAACCCTGAGACGTCTGAATTTCTCAGCTGAACACAGAGTTTACAGCTCTACTGTGTTGTCTTTTTATAGGGCAAATGTGTAATGTTGTTTGTCAATGTTACACAAATAGCAAATATTATCAGTGCTTATTACGTATACATGAGTCTATGAGATTTTAGAAATAACGTGTACTTACCTTAAATCAGTTACCCACCACGCTACTTGTCATTTGCCACTGCTTTGCCACGCGCTACTCTTTTTAAATATGTACTGTGCCGTGTGCAGCACAAAAGGATGGTCTTCCTATGGGACGGGAAACTTGGGGTTTATTTTTTATTCGGAGGATAAATAATACTCGTCCGGTGACTCTCGTGTTTCTGTTTTCATCAAGGTCCGAGACTTATTTGCCCTCGCTCGGAAGAATGCCCCTTGCATCCTCTTCATCGATGAGATAGACGCGGTGGGGAGGAAGAGGGGAAGAGGCAACTTTGGAGGGCAGAGCGAGCAGGAGAATACCCTTAACCAGCTGCTCGTGGAGATGGATGGTGAATAGTCAAGTCTCTTGAATTTAAACTACACTTTCCAATTGTCCTCCGTATCTCCAAAATGAGAATCCTTATTCTGATATTTAGTACCCCCCCCCAAAAAAAGAATTTTTGTAAAAGAAACAGCCCTTTTTAAAGGCTCTTTTATACTAATACAAATAATAGCAAAATATTCTTGCCTGATAGCCTGCCATAACTTAATATTGGTGTTAAGGTGGTGTTTGTACCTGGTGTTGAATAAGGGGAAAATTTGGATATGCAGAAGAATTATAGTCTCAGTGTCTAAATCATCGATACCTCCGAAGCACAAGGAAGACCCAAGCCTAACCAAGTGCGAATTTAGCAAATTTCAAATACTTTTTTACTAAGAGAGTAGCAGTCTTCCCGTATTCGTCAGCTTTCTTTTTGTTTGGGAAAGCCAGTCCTCATGTGTGGCATGTCCTTCTTGCTGGAAGATAGACGGTTGTATGTGCCCGAAGGGGCCACACGGCGCTAAGGATTGGACTGGCTTAGATGATGAAGCCGGGCATAGTATCAGATGCGAAGGGAGAGCTCCCCCCCGTTGTGTGACAGTAGCCCACACTCAGTACTGTGTCCAAATTGGAGTGCCACATTTGGGGGAAATCAACCCCTGAGCCCCTTCAGTGCCAGGGTCTGAGGGTGAAGGGTCTGGGGCCACGGCATCGACATTGAGAAATGGCTGTTCAAGCTGAGCAGCCTTGAGTCTGGAGAAGAGGTGGGGGTGGAAGTCAGTACCTGCTTCCAGACAGGCAGTTAGTCTCCTGCGCGCAGGGAGTCAGACACATCATTTGCAATCAATCTGATTTTAAACATTTTTAAAATTGACAACATCCTCAAAATTTCTACTTAAATAAGTTAGAATCTTTGGTTATTTGTCTTTAGGAAATTGATTCTTAAAAGTTTAATATATGATTGTTAAGGAGAAGATGAATAGTAAGAAAAATAATTCAAGTTTGTGACTTAAAAACTACTGGATAATGAATAGAAAAACACATTCAGTGTAGAAGTATATTTCTAGTGCTCAGGCGCACTGCTGCCTTCTGCCTCATGTCATTTAATGATGACCGTATTTCTGTTACTGTCTTTTCAGGTTTTAACACGACGACGAACGTCGTCATTTTGGCGGGCACCAACAGACCGGATATCCTGGACCCCGCGCTGCTGAGGCCGGGGCGCTTCGACAGGCAGATCTTCATCGGTGAGGCGGTGTTCACTGGGTTCAGCCCAGTTCTCGTGGGTATAGGTCTATTTCACTATGATTTTTTTTTCCCTAAAAATAATTTCTAAAGGACCACCAGACATAAAAGGAAGAGCCTCTATTTTCAAAGTTCACCTCCGACCACTGAAACTGGACAGTAGCCTGGAGAAGGAGAAATTGGCAAGAAAACTGGCATCCTTAACTCCAGGGTTTTCAGGTGAGTGGAAAGTACCACCGTCCTATTTATAAGTACTTTGAAATCACTGACAGTTACCGGGTACCAGTTCACTTTGTTACTCTCTCACGGGGGCTTCCTAAGTATGTATTTTGTATGTTTTTATCATGAGAAATTTCAAACATACACAGACTTTCAGGAAATAGTGTGGTGAACCCATCTGCACCCTCGCCTAGTTTCAGGAGCAATTACTGATTCACAGCTGACCTTATTTATACCCCCACCCGCTTCCCTCTGCCTCTGGAGTATTTTGTGGCAAGTACCTGACAGCGTATTGTTTTATCTATAAATATTGCAGGGTTATTCCCAAGTGTTGTTTTTAAAAAGCTCTATGGAGACAAAATTAAGATACCTTAAAAATCACCTGTATAAAGTATACAATTCAGTGATTTTTAGTATATAACAGAGTTGTGCACCATTCACTGCAATCTAATTTTAAAACATCGCCCCAGAGAATCCACTAGCAGCTACTCCCTCTGTTCCCAGCCCAAGACAACCCCTAATCTACTTTCTATCTCTATAGGTTTCCTATTCTGGACGTTTTGTATCAATGGAATTGCATAACACGTGGTCTTTTGTGCCTGGCTTATGTTCACTTAGCAGAGTGTTTTCAGGGTTGATGCATATCGTAGCAGACATCAGAACTTCATTCCTTTTTATGGCCAGGTCATATTCTGTTTTTGGATATTCTACATCTTATTTATCCATTCATCAGTTGATGGATATTTGGGTTGTTTCCATCTTTTGGCTATTACGAATAATGCCACAAACATTGGTGTGCAGATTTTTGTATAGACATATGTTTTTATTTCTCTTGGTTATATACCTAGGAGTGGCATTGCTGGGTCATGTGGTAACTCTGTGTTTAACTTTTGAGGAAATGCCCGACTGTTTTCCAAAGTACCTGCACCATTTTACGTTCCCACCAGCAGTGTTATGTTTCTCCATATCCTCACCAACATGGTTATTGTCTTTTTTCTTTTTCTTTTTTTTTTTAAGAGATGGGGTTCCCCTCTGTTGCCTAGGCTGGAGTGCAATCATAGCTCACTGTAGCCTTGAACTCCGGGGCTCAAGTGATCCTCCTACCTCAGCCTCCTGAGCAGCTGGGACTATAGATGTGCGCCACCATGCCCAGCTAATTGAAAAAATATATTTTTTTTGTTTTTTAGACATGGGGTCTCCTGAAGTGCTAGGATTACAGGTATTAGCCACCATGCCCAGTCACGAGTATTTTTAATGTAAAATATGATCCTTTCTTTCTCAGTTCCTGTCACCCTCTTTGTAAACTCAAAATGAAATAAAAAGGAACAGTTGAGAAGTATGAGAAGATTACACAATAGTATGGTCAGAAGATGGTCATCTTAAATATCCCAGGGGTCCAATCTTTTTACTTGTTTCTTGTCTTTGGACTTTCAAATTTGTAATGTTTTAATATTTGTTTATTGAGTGCATATAGTGTGCTTGTTCTATAGCTTATTTGTGTTCCATATACTTAATCTGAAAAGTTAAAGAGTCTTATGGATCTGAGAAGCATTTGGCAAGCTTTTAAACTATATTAAAAATTAGTTGCTTTATTGAGTGTGCTAAGTTGCTAAGTGATTTTTTTTTTTAAGAGTACTTGTCAGCAGAAAATGTGCTAGGTGGTTTTAATGCTTAGGTTTAACATTATGTGTCAGCATATCGCCCAATATCCACAGAAGCCACTTTCGTGACAGAGATGGTGGAGCTAAGCTAGCTGATGAGCATTTGTAAATGCTGCCTTAGTTTGCTGTTATATGAGCCATATTGTCCATTAAGGTAAATAGTTGTCTGTAATTATCTATTTACTACTAATACTTTCATCTCGGTTCAGAGGGTCAGAATTGTACCAGGCCAGTACCAAGTGTGACAGTAGTTTAGGGTTATCATGAATCAAACTGAGTTACATTTACATAAACCCCTTATCCAGTGACTGCTGATCGACTATGGATTTGGTCATCTGTAATGTGTCACTAATCAGTTTGAGCATATTTTGATGGGTGAGCTGTTCTGCATGTTCATTTTGCAGGAGCTGATGTTGCTAATGTCTGCAATGAAGCTGCTTTGATTGCTGCGAGGCACCTGTCAGATTCCATAAATCAGAAACACTTTGAACAAGCGATCGAACGCGTGATTGGTGGTAAGGCAGCTGAGTGTAACTCAAGTCAAAAGGCTGATAAAATGAATTCGAGGCCAGGGATTTCTCTGTTTTGGTAAAATCTAGAAGCAGAGAAATGCATCTGCCCACCATGCCCGTTTGGGTCCTGCCCTGTGCTCTCTTGGTGTCACGGGCCCCCTTCCCCTGCTGTCTGCGTGGAGGTCGAAGGTGCTGGCTGAGTCTGCGATGGCAGCTTACGTGTGCGGGCAGCAAGCAGTGACCTCACCCCCGAATTATACCAGTCAAGATTCTATAAAAGCTCACACCCTTCCTGTTTCCAAAAATCTCATCACAGGAATTAAATGTGCTCTGTGCTAGGTACAGGTAATGGGTGTAAAATAACCACAACAGCCGTTTAGCCGGGAGGTGCTCGTTCTCGGCCAGTGCAGTGGGGATGCACACGGCACGTTTTCCTTGCATCCTGTAGAGCTTATGATCTCACCCCTCTGAAACCAGCAATTCAAGTACTTGGGCACTCAAAGGAGGGAAGAGCACTGGCAGGCAGAGCTCCACAGAAGAGGAGGGACATACACTAGTTCAGCAGAAAAGCGAGTGTGCTGTGAGCATGGCCTGAACCAGAAGGGAGTTTGACGGTGATGGTGTCACACCCTGAGTTTAGGGAGGGAAAGTCAACTGGTCAGATGCACATTTCTGGGGGAAGTAAGGTAAAGTTCAAAAAAGTTAAGTCTAGATTTTGGAATGCTAAGCTCAAGGGCTTCTTAAATGTTGTCCTGTGGCTGTTACTGAACTAAGGTGGGTTTCTCCTGAGCCACTGAGTGACAGTGATCGGTGGTATTTTCGGAAAACGAATCTGGCTTTGAAGAGGAGGGAAGCATCTGGAGGCAGAGAACCCGTGGCCATCAGCGTAAGCTAGCAGGCATAGCGTGGGGAGTCCGGTGGCAAAGTCAGGACAGACTGGAAGGCCATACAGGGAGATGGGGTGCTCCTGGGCCAGCTGGTTGGGCAGAGAATGAGAGGGGCTGAATTTGAGCCAGGGCAGGGTGTCCACGTGGAACTCTGGTACGGGGTGGTGGTCCCAGGGTGTGCTGGGTGGAGTAGTACAGGTGGGTGAGGATGCTCAGGGAGCACGTTCCCCCTGGGGAGGAAGAGGGGAGATCTGCAGAGAAAACAGTTGCCCAGTGCCCACATTTTGTAGCAGAGAGGAGAAAAGTGAGTCAGCAAAGGCACCAAAGCTCAATGCCGCGGGCACTGAAGGTGTGTCAGCCACTAAGGCAAGGAAGGGGCAATAAAGGGGACCAGGCAGGTTGGAGGAGCCAGGAGGCGAGGAGGGGCCGTCAGCAGGGGAGGGAGGAGGGCTTCAAAGGAAGAGGACCACTGGGTTTGCTGGTGAGGCTGTTGGGAGTGGCTGTTGACAGGACGGTTTGAGCTGAGTGGAGAGCACAAAGCCAGATGAGTGGACCTTCCAGCGAGGCTGCAGGGCTGGCATAACAATGCGCGTTGCCTGGTAGGCGCCAGATGAACAGCTAATTCCTGAATGAGTTAATTAATAGACCGCTTATTCTATAAATTTCATGTCAGGGAAAAAACCCCTCCCTAAGATGATAGAGCTGTAGATGGAATTAAAATAATTCACTGAAGAGACAGGTAAAAACTGTGTGTGCGCCTTGTTTAGGTCAGGGAGAAGCAGTCAGGGAGAGAGGGAAAGAGGACGGGGCAGCCGGCACACCGGGGCTCGCGCTCGAGGTAGACAGCAGCCAAGCCACCGGCACTTGTTTCGTAATGAGATAGCATACTGAGAGAATGACAAGTTCCGTGGTAAACTGTGGGGAAGTTCTTTGATTTTTCAGGTAAGCCAGAGGTGTTCATCTTTAGAAAACAGAGAGCTTGTTCACTCCCCTTCCTAACTGCTGACCTGGCAGCTCCATGGCATGTACTAGTCTTGGGTTGTATCATTGGGAACGTAGCTTTTTTTCAGTCTTCCAGTTTGCCTAGTATGTTATCAGTTGAGAAATTCTCTCAGATGAGTTACCTAGACCGCAACAAAGCTACTGCTGTCACGGTGTGATGATTTGTGTTGGCACAAAGGATGCAGTTTCTACAGTATAGAGGTATAAGATGAGGGGCGGAGCCCACCTTTATCCAGGCCAGAGAAGACTCGTCCTCAGATTGGCGGTCCTTCAGCTCTGTAGTTGACAGGTGGGCTCCACACGGGGTCTTCTGGTCCCTAGGTCTCCGGGGTTTATCCTCTTGAGGCAGAGCTGACCATCTGAGCCCTCGGGCCGGGTGGTCAGTGTGTCGGTGTCCGGCACTAGCCTGTCGGCTCCGACGAGGCACTTCCAGAGCCTTAGCCCGGTGCTTTCTCTGACTCTGGTCTGCCTTCCGTCAGGAACAGACAGCGAGCGCTTGGTCTCTCATGGCAGGTGTGGTTATCTACCCAGTTTTTGATAATTCTGAATACCTAGACTAAGCAATGAAGACCTTTCCAGAGTTCTTTGTTTTCTATGAATTTTTTATGTTTTAAATTGACCTAAATGCTGAATTTTATTTTACATTTCTATTTGTTTCCCACAACAGGATATGGCTTTAAAGAGCAGCAGAGTTAGGATAAAATAGGGGGTAGGGGGAGTGAGTGCATTTTTACTGTAGTTGGGTATATTTTGAACTAGACCTTGTGCTTTTATTCTGACCTTGATTGGGAATTTCTGAATTGTCATAGGCAGCTCAGTCTTTAAATACCATTTCGGATAAGGCCGTGTGTAGCACTGTATAACTAACTGTCTTTTAATGTCAGTGTCACTAAAACAGTGGTCTGGATTTTTTGTTATTATTTTGGTAGGCTTAGAGAAGAAAACTCAGGTTCTGCAGCCCGAGGAGAAGAAGACTGTGGCGTACCATGAAGCAGGTCACGCAGTTGCCGGCTGGTATCTGGAGCATGCAGACCCACTCTTAAAGGTGAAACAGTGTCACACAGTCAGCAGTCCAGGTCTTTATGTGAGCAGTTACTTGGGAAGAAAGTTGACTCCCACAAAGGAGAGACATAAAAGATGTTTAAAGGAATTTAGCAAAAACTTCTGGTAATGACAGTTGAATGAAGTGGTTACACAAACCCTCCTGCAGATAAATTATAAAATTTGGAAGAAAGTTATTTAAAGGGACCAAAAAGTGTCCAAAAGCAGACCAAAGCTGGGGGAGAGTTTACTTTTTAAAAGCAGTAGCTGCAGTGGGTTGACACTGGGAGTTTGTGGCTTTCTTGCCTGAGGATTTTCTGTAACCACTGTAGTGGTGGAAGACGTTGGTCTTGCCATCCTGAGGTGGCAGAGGAGATAGTTCAGAATTTGAAGAATACTGGGAATTTAATAGGAAAATCCAAGAAGCAGGAAAACTCAGAGGGGTGACACCGAAATCTGAGTAGAAACTGGCCACATCCGTGGCTGACTGATAACCCACACATGCACAGGGGCAACCCCAGAGAGCCTGGCGAAATCGTAAGCAGAGACCAGGAGCAATCAATCCCTGAAAGACGGAAGTGGACCAAGAGAGATTTTTAAGTTTGCTGCTTTTGCAACTAATTCATTCCCCAGACCATCGCCACAGAGACGACAGAAGGCAGCTGCCTAACTGCCTTGCGATGTCAGAGGACAGCTGGGAATTGAGGGGGATCCCCTGAGGCCAGGCAGCCACAGAGAAGACAGTGTTAGAGCACACTTGAGACACCCCAAAGAATCTACAAAGAAGCCACTGGAACTAATAAGTGAAGTTAGCAAGGTTATGGAATCCAAGGCCAATATACAAAGACCAGCTGTATTTTGGTTATTAGCAATGAACAGTTGGAAAATGAAATTTTAAAAATTCAGTTTCACTTTCAGTAGCATTGAAAGACATGAAATATGGAGGGATAAATTTAAGAAAATATTTGTAGGACCTGTATGTTGAAATAAATAGACTTAAATAAAAATGGAGACGCACTGTATTCATGGAATGTTATGTCACTTCTCCCCAAATTGAGAGTTTCAGTGCAGTCTCTTATAATTATAGCAGAACATTATTGTAGAAATTGAGAAGCTGAATCTACAGTTCACATGG